TTGTATTGCATTTTGAAAATTTGCTGCAACTGTGCGCAACCCAAATTCTGCATATTTTCCTTTAAAACATGCCTAGGTCTCGCGTACGCACAATTGAGAAGCTAGCATAGGCGCTGTTTAGCAACACATTAATTCAGTAAGCACCCTGAGCAAGGACCCCGTAGTGAGAAGCGGAGGCACTCGGGAAATAGCTGGAATGGTAAAAAATGCCAATGGCTTCTTCTGAGGGTTGCTTGCAAACAAGCTGATGGCAGGCTTGACTGCCTGGCATACTCCAGTACCAATTTACCATCGAATGAACGAATCGAAGGGAGATTGGTTGACTCACCGAAAAATTCGAATTTTCGACCTACTGCACGCAACAGCAGTGCTAAAATACTGCGCTGTATCGAGCGATTTGCTGCGATGTATAAAAGCGGAGCATCGATTTCTCTGCTGACCGAAGTATTCGTGGTGAAGTTGAGTGAGAAATAGCTACGCTGGACGTACAGACGAAATTTGGTGAGAGCGTAGTTATGTTTGTGTTTTTCGGTATGGCATCGGTGACGAGCATGCGCATCCAGCCGTTGAACAAGCAGGAAATTGCCGCTGGCAAATACGTGCTTTATCTGATGCGTTCTGTGCGTGTACGCTCCTCTCCATCGTTCTCATTCGCATCGCGGCGAGCCAATGAATCCGGCGTGCCACTGCTACCGGCTTTCATCTACCAGCCAGGTACCCTTTTCAAACTTTCCCACGGACTTGCTGCAGTTAGGAATCGTAAAGATTCCCTCAAAAACTTTTATCTGTTCCGGAATTAGGAATAGTGGAGTAAGAAGATTGGAATTAGGTGTCATGTATAAGAAAACATTTCACGATGCAGTCTCTATGTTTCATCCCTTAGCTGTATACACAGACCGAACAGTGCAAAACAGCACCTGTTTAGCCTGTAGCAAAATCCCCGCATGAAGTCGCAGTAGCCAACCACAAATTGGAAGATATCAGCAGGGAGCCTATATTCGCGCACTGATAGATTTTTAATTGCTTATAGCGCAACACAAAGGTCGGTATTTTAATAGTTAACACATCGCGAAGGAATCACATCAAAGTACTACTATGTTTTGTTTGGAGCAGAACATTAGTAAAGAGGAGCTCTTTTTCACTGAGCAGTCACTGAGTGCACAGAAATGTAATTTTCATTGCGGTGTATGCATCTGAGTCTCAGGTCTGGCCCGCGAATCGAAAGAGAACTACGCTTTCCGGGCCCTAGTTTTCTCTGCGATCAACATCGATCACTATGCTAAGCAGTAATTTTACCTCTATCCTATCGCGACCCTAATTGTTA